TGTACCAGTTTCACTATTGGCCTGAGTTTATATAACTTATTGAATTTTTTTCTGTGCTCAGTTTTATTTCTTTTCCCATCTGTATTTGATTTTCATAAATACAGTTGTGTTTACTCAGGTACTTTACTTCTGAAACAAACAGTATAAACTCTTTGATGCTTTAGAATACCTTTTTTTTTCCAATAAGTATAAACGTTTTTATATCTTAATTTTCACGTAGGAAGAAACTTTTTCGTATTGATTTAATCTTTCATTTCCTGAATGTACAACCAATTTTCCTCGTACTTCAAAAACTAATTTTTGGCATTATTACTGGATGTTTATGCTATATGCACACTTGATTTTCAGTACTCCCTTAAATGAATAGGATATTTTCTTGTTAAAATGTTTAGTTTATTTCCATACTGAAGGCTGATTTTTTTTTTTCGCTTATTTCTTTTGATTATAATTATCTTTTAGCCTTCACTGCTTGTAACAGTAAAAGAATCACTACTGATCAGTTATTATTTGATGTATGTGATATAATAACCTTTTTTCCTGCTATTTTTTCACAGACTAAATCAGTTTTCTTTTTTTGCAGCTGTTCCTGTTAAGTACGATAATCTGAGAGGCTGAAAGGCGAAGGATGACTGTCCAGTATGGAAAACCAAACCCTTTTCAGAAGATTATTTGTTTATGACGTCGCAATAAGTGTTTTTTCTTTTGGACTTTTTTTTGTTATTCTGTTTTGTAGTTGTGTTTTACATATTTGCTTCCCTTCCATGTTTCTAAGTACCTTTTCCATACGTACAGTTTACATACAATGTGCAACGTATAGCAGTGCTTTCTAATTTCAATACAGTTTTAGAATTTTCAGTATTAGTTTTTGTTGCAGTGTTAAATTACTCAATATTTTTTTAAATTTACAATTCACTTTCCATTACCTCTTTATTTTTAATTTTTCGTATATTTTTAAAAACCGTTTGTATAATATTTTCCTAAGTTGGCGGTAGTACGTGCCGAAGTGAGGTGGACTACTTTTTTACATCAGACTTCTCATCAGGCGTATTTTTTTACACGTGTTTTCACCAATCATTTAAGTGAAATTTTGAGAAACTGCCTGCTGCAGAAGTTTGCTGAAAACAGCGTTGTTTCTTACAGACATTTCTTCTGCTGCAAATGGCGACCGCTGGAGAACATTCTGTTTTGTCTTTTTAAGCAAATCTATTAGATTTTGTAAGGGTGTTTGCAAGCTAGTCGTTTGAAAATCTGACAGATTGAGCAATCAAATTTCAAACTTGAAAAGTAGTGTTTAGTCGAAACAGTTGTTCGATATGTTTGTGTCCTAGTAAACTGTTTGTTGAAGTAATCTTTGTGATTTTTTGGCTGGTTTTTTACGTTTTTTTCTAAAACTTCGCTTTGCAAAAAATAAAAGCTGTTTTTTTTAATCAGCGTTAAATTTTGACTTCAACACTATAACTATTTAGCAGTGGTATTGTCAGGCTTTTGTAGTACGGTTATTTGTGTCATTTAGACGTGTATTAACCTTGCAGAGAAAAAGGGGTTTTCAGTGCCAGTACTTCTCTTTCCCTGTGGGCAACATGAATTCACTGAAAAACTTAGAATGTCTCAGTCAGCAAACAAGAATTAAGGCTAACTTATAAGGATATTTGTTACTTATATCTGTTAGTATTTCAAATACCGGTGCTGACAAGGTGGAGGGTCTGCAGTTGAATAAGACACTTACTGGGCCTTCACTTTCGAAACGTTTAGTTAGTGTTTAGCGGAAGTTGTTAATGTTCAGACGCTCTCGATTGCTGCTGATTTCGTTTGGTTCAGGTTTCTGCTGCGTTTCTTGTCTACTTACTGTTAACCGTAAAGCTATACTTATTCGCCAAGTTTATACGTCAGTTTACGCGAATTTCTTGTGCATACAAATCTTCTTTAGAATTCAGGAGGGCAGCCCGGTATGGCAGCACTACGCAATTTATGTGTTACTGCAGCCCGAGCTCTCTCGACAGGTAACTTACCCATCTTATTTCTGACCATTTTTTACTTTTGCTTCAAGCGCAGTTGTGTGATTGAACTTTATTTTTTTTCTGTAACTTTACAGATGCAAATGCCGTTTATGCAGCTACACGAAATAACCTGAAAATCAACAAAAATACCAAAGTTATTATTCAAGGATTCACAGGGAAACAGGCAAGTTACTTTTTGTAAGGATTTTGGTTCATAATCGTGTACGTGGCACTCTTACTTTTTCGTTTTTTCGTTGCAGAAATCAAATATAGAGTTAAGGAATTTTATTCGTAAATTACTGCTTATTTTGGGATCCCTCTTCAAAAAATGTTTGGTCTGTTATGGGCACAGATGCTTTTACTTTGCCTTTGCCATTTAGAACTTTTATTTAGTTAAAAATGTCTGAATGTTTGAATTTCTTATTTTGTAGTCATTCAAACTTCCGATATTATTAGTTTCTGATACCGCAGTTTTTACTATCGAGATCTAGACTTCTACGTTGGACGAGAATTAAAAAATCTAAAAATTACCTATCTAGTTCATTCACCGCAGTTACTGAATAGTTCCTCAGGAAGCTTTTTATTTTTACTGCCTGAGTTATTTTTTGCCTTTGCTTTTGTAGGATGAAGGTTGACTGAAAACACATTGCGTAAATGTTTAGCATGTCAAAAGCTTCATTTATTGGCACTTGGTAGTTGGAAATACTTTGAGTATAAGTGAATTGAGAGGATAAAACATGTTAAAATAGCAAGTCCGCTCGACTAAATTCTTCCTCATACAATCCAATAATTCTACTGGCTTAAATCCTTTAGCTTTGAATAAGTTTTATATATATATCTATTTTATTTCTCTTTGTTTCCTGTTTTTTCGTTGTTACTCGTTCTTATTAGTATTTTCTTTATTTTATTGGTGACCGGAAAGTTATTTTGAATGCTCCTCTGAGTCTCAAGGATAGTAAGCTACAAAGTTTCAGGTTCAGAAGTTGATTTTTTAGTGTACGCTGGGTATGGAATTCTTTATTCATTTATAGGGTACCTTTCATGGAAAACAAATGATTGATTATAAAACTAATGTTGTCGGAGGCGTTTCTCCAAAGAAGGCAGGATCTACGCATTTGGGAAAACCCGTATTTGCATCTGTCAAGGAAGTATGTCTTTATATCGCCTTTTATTTATTTTTCCTCTCATTAGAAGAATTGTTTTGAAGCCTCTAGTTTTTCCTCTGTACACTTTCCAAAAAAGTGATGGAGGTTGCGGGGCTTTAAATGAATTATTTTCTACAAAGATTTCATTTTGATCTAGCAGTGATTTTTTAGTCCACATTTCTTGTGAAAGAGATTAGTTTTTTTAATATCGTTAATGCATTTTAGTTTTTTTTAAGGCTTTAATCCTAACAGGTTTGTCAGCCGTGTAAAGTTTGAAAAGTAATCTTGTACTACTGCAAGGACTAAAGGAGGAACATTTCTGAAGTACAGCAGAGACGCTATCTTCTCACTGGTTTATTTAGGCTCGTGAAAAAACCGGCGCAGATGCTACGGTTATTTATGTTCCTCCGCAGTTTGCTGCTGCTGCGATAAATGAAGCAATGGATGCTGAAATCCCCCTTGCAGTATGCATCACGGAGGGGATTCCTCAACAAGATATGGTACGCGTAAAAAACAGGTTACTGAAACAAGACAAAACACGTCTTGTGGGGCCTAACTGTCCGGGCATTATCGCTGTTAGTTTTACTTAATTTGATCTTGAGTTTTTCATGATGTATATTTTTATGCCAATGCCTACATTGCTTTTGTTAAAATCTGACAATTTTTAGCCTGAGGAATGCAAGATTGGTATTATGCCAGGGCATATTCATCAGAAAGGTGTAGTCGGTGTGGTTTCGCGATCTGGTACATTAACTTATGAAGCCGTCCATCAGACGACGGTAGTTGGTCTTGGACAGACGTTGTGTGTTGGCATTGGTGGCGATCCTTTCAATGGAACAAACTTTGTTGATTGTTTGAAAATATTTCTTGAGGACCATGCAACTAAAGGTTTTGTTGGGAAAATAATCTCAATAATTAGCTTACAAGAAATTTCTGGAGGTTTTTTTAAAGTTAGAATGGCCAAAACAGTCAGAAAACTAAGCTTTAACAAAAATATTTTAAGTTTTTTAGATTTTCTGGTCAACCGGTATAGAGGGGATGAGGAGTTTCATCCTTTGTTTGAAACTATATGAAAGCAATTTATTTTCTGTAAGACAGTAACAGCCGTGATCCTCTATCAGGGTCTTGCGGCAGAGGGTTTCTAAGTATTAGTGTAATCTGTTCTATGGAAGCACATAGAGCTTTTTTTGCTGTAATTAGTCTGAGTTTTCCTCCTTAATTTGCTGTCGTATTTTGTAAGATGTTTAGCAGATACTAGACTGTATTTCTTGGTCATGATGAGGTTTCTGCTTTTGTGAGATTTTGTCCTTTTCTTAGGTATTGTTCTTATTGGTGAAATTGGTGGCCAAGCTGAAGAGTTAGCAGCGGAGTACTTGAAGAAATATAATTCTGTAAGCGTATGGCTATTCAGTTAGCTTTCTTGGTATCTGCTATTGATTATTACACTTAAATTAATTTCGAATACCACCTAGGGTCCTGATGCAAAGCCCGTTGTTTCGTTTATTGCCGGTCTCACTGCTCCTCCTGGAAGAAGAATGGGACATGCTGGAGCTATCATATCGGGAGGAAAAGGTACAGCAAAGCATAAAATTGAAGCACTAAAGTCTGCTGGGGTTCTTGTAAGTTTTTTCTTATTTTCATACTGTTATTAGTATTTAATTACATCGTAAACTTAAGTGAAACGCTAATAACAGCAATGAAATATTTTTTTGCAGGTAACTGATTCTCCAGCCCAAATGGGTCCTATCTTAGCAAAAGCTCTGGTTGGAAAGCTTTAGTCGTGGTTTTACTTGTTTATTTTATGGAAACAGTCAATCACAAATTAGTGGAGGCACCCGCTACTTCTTTGCCCATTGTACTTCTCGCTCCCGTCGTTTTATACTTTTTTGTTGTGTTTTTTACGAAATTAAAATAGCTAGGGGTTTGTCCATGAATAGTTCAAATGTGTTTCTTAGTTTTTTTCGTCACATATTTGTTTTTAAAATTACGGTCTTAGGTTCTATCTGTGCTTCGTTCTAGGCGTTCATTTTTCACATTTTTTAAGGAGATAAGGCTTTTATATTATCCGACAAAATTTATTAACTTTTACCGGAAATATCGTTCCAATTTCGCTTTTTTCTTAGTCTTATAGGTTCTTATTTTTAGTCAGATTTCATATTTTATTTATCGGTGTTTTTGTTAGAAAGACTAAATTGTGACCGTGACGTCTGTTTTGTAAAGAATTTACTTTCTTAGGTTGTTTTGACTTTTTACAAGTTACACTGCTTTTTTATAAGTATTGAAAACTTGAATTATATCTGATAATAAAGTCATAAAATGTCTCTATTTCTGCTCGATTTGTTTATATTTTGATGCTCGTGATTGTCCTCTCAACAGTAATATAAGTTTTTTACAAAATATGTTTTTAAAGAGCCCATTGTCGATTGATAAAAGCAGTTAAACGTATTGTTAGAGTGGTAGCCAATAGAGTGGCTCTTTGATCAGTTTTATTGAAGCCTTCCACTTTGGTAGAGTTTAGCTTCTCCTCATTAAGGAACAGGCATACTGGACTATTTTTTCACCAATCTCGAAGGCTGGTTTTAGCAGTTGGTCGTTACGAGCAGTAAAGAAAGTAGTTTGTATGGTTGAATGTTGTGAATGGGGCGTTTTGGCGATACCATTTACTCGCTGATGGTATAGGTGGATTTGGTAAGTCCATGTGCTGAGTCACTTCGTAAGGGTTCTTTTCGGGTGTATTGTGATTGTAGGGGAGTTTTTTTGCGTCCGCAGCTGTCATTTTCTGCGGAGTAGTGAGTGGTGGATCCGAATGATCAGTGGTAGATTGTCCGTTACGCGATGTGTTGTGCAGTAGCGTGTTGATTGGGACCGCTGAAACCCATTTATTGCAGCGAATTATTTTTGCAACGCAACAGATTTTCAGGGAACTTTCAGACGAAAAGTTGTTTTGTAGTCAGTAAAGCGATCCACAATCCTAGAAAATTTTACATTTTTCAGATTTTAGCTGCAAATTTGAAAAGAGTAAGTATGCAGCTTGGGAAATGCATTTAAAGGATAGTAGAGTTTTACATAAATTGCAGGAAAGATGGATATTTTTGCTTATAGACCCTTTTTATTCTTATTCTCGTGTCTTGATTTAGCTGTCTCAGGTTTTCAGTACTTCACATGCCGTCATTGTTTAGGGTTTCAGGTAGTAATTGTTTTCATCGTCGATTCAAAATTTTTTGGGGAGCCAACAGTGAAGGTCAGGAACTGAAAGTAGGAATTTTTAGGTGTTCAAAGTTAACATTCCTCAAGCAACTTGACCCCCAACTGTTTGGAATTTTGAGGTTTATATACCTGGAGAAACTGCAGCTCAGGGCACGATTCTTATAAGCTTCGTTCTGATCACCAGACTTCCGCACTTTTAAATATCGCCTAAAATCTTATAGTATAATGGTTGTTTTTATCGACGGAACTAAATAAATTTTATTGGAAATTTCTTTGGAGGATGTCATAAAGTTTTTTTTACGGGTTACGGGAATAAATTCTGAGTTCGACGATTAAGTCGAAAAGAAAAAGTTGCCTATTTGTCTTTAATTAAATCTCTTTTTTTTATTTATGTTTTACTTAGTATTTTTTTTGGTGGTGAACCTGAAGTCAAACATTTTGTAAGAAGTTAATTGTTGAAGTTTTTTAGTTCAGTCATATTTTCTAAATTTTCACTCGATTATTTGATTCGATACAAACAGTGATTTTGATTGAAGCATCTCAATGTTTACTTTGTCGTTCATCCTACTGTATTTTATCTGCCTGTCGAACATTTGGGATAGAAAGTTTTATGACTACTGTTGATATAAGCTTTTCGTTCAATGTTCAACGTAGACACCAAAGATTTTTCGACATTTCTGTCACGGTTTTAGTCGTTGCTTAAAATTGTTACTTTGATGCCATTTCGTTCACGAAGATTTTCAATGTATCCAGTACTCGTTGACTGATTTCTTTGTATTCATCAAGGCGTGGGTGGAGGAGGCTGGTTGGTATATATCAGCAAAGTTTCGAAAATATTTCTGATTTTTGTGTGTTATAAATGCTGAGCTATTAAATAACAGTTAGGTGACTTGTAAAATTTAATTACTAACAATTTTTTCATCAGATAATTTAGGGATATCTGACGACACAAATGCTAATGTTAATTGATAAAGTTCCAATGAAAGTCTGTTGTAGAAGGTCTGTAGTGGTTGGAATTTTGTTTAATGGTGCATCGATATATTCGGCAGATTAAACAGGCTGATGACATAGTTTATAGCTTCCTAAGCACTCATTCATTGTTCGGAAATTGCCATTAGTTCAGTAGCGTCTGTCGTGAAGTAAAAAAATTCAGAAAGTGAATATTTTACAACGTAAAGATTTAAAAGTAGTAAACTGAAGAAAAAGTTTTAAGTTTTATTAGTAACACTTTTGATATCACAGTAGAAACAAATATATTTAGTTCTTTGGTTATCTTACTATCAAAGTAAAATTTTTTGGCTCTTAATGGTATTTGTATATTTGTGTGGGGATTCCTTGATGAAATTATAATTTCTATGAATACTTGTCCACAATCAGCGTCAAAATTTCCCATCAAGAATTGATTGCGTGATTTTGGTTCCAAATAGCTAGACTGATTGATCTTTTTTGATAATCAAATAAACGTCCGAGATTTGAGATTGTTGTTTGCTTTTGACAATTGAATTGCTCGTGTTTGTTCGTAATAGTTGTATACTAATAATGTCTAACACGGAAGACGAATATACAAGAATTGACTTGAGTATTTTCAGTTGGAATAGCAGTCGTCAGCTGATACTTATGTCGACGGATTGGCCATCTCTAGTCGTTGTTGATTTACTAATTCAAACTTTTGAAGTATAAACTGCTATCTGAACTGTTATTATTATTGTGCGCTTCTATGTATATAAGACAGGGTCTGATTTAAGATTTTACTAAGTGGAAGAAACCTTAAAAAAAAAAAGGTTGGTAAAAAAACCTTAATTGAACTCCTTGGCAGAGAATTATTGCAGGAGTATTTACTTCAGTGATGAATTTCCTCAAAAGCACAGTTATCTAATGGCGTTCTCCTTTAAATTTTCGCTTTTTTTAATGTTGAAGATTTGATTTTTAAGTAACAACTTATCAATTCAGTAACTAAGCAGATATTCAGGGGTTTTTTGCTGGTAGCTTCTCCACTAGTGTCTTATAAATAATAGTGAATTTGAACCAAGGAAGCTGGTTCAACATATGTGACTGACTGAATGAATAAAACCAATTTTTTGAAAGGGGGTCAGTCATTTCACACTCACTTGGCAGACCTTTTTCCTGTCGACGGATAGTACCCTTCCGCTGTTGCAACTGTTTTTTCGAATTTTTAAAAATAACGTAAAAATTGACAATTGCTTTGAATCTTATTCCATTTTGAATGCACTAAACAATATTTGTATTTGAAAGAATAATCATTTTTGCTCAAATATGCAAATTTTATGTGCAGCAAATAACGGGCAACATAAAATTGTGAAGCTGTAAGCAGAAATTGATTTCAACGGTACATGAGTGGTGTGTTTACACAATGAATAATTATCAATGGTAAGGGAGCAGCCGACTGGCGTCCACCCAGTTGCATTTGGATGAAAACAACCCACGTACCTTTGTCCCCTCACTCACTTGTATCTTGGCCACTTCTCTGCAACAGTGGGTACATCTATCTCTTCTTCCCCATCGTACCAAGGTGTTCCAGATGAATTTTATGCTAAATTCCAGTTTTGCTAACTGCACTTTATTTTTGATGTGCAAAGTAGTGTTGTTTTTTTTTTTCTGTTCTCCTATCTACATCGGCGTGCGGCGTATAAAAAATCGGCTATTTTGAACAGTATATTGTTGGAAGCCGTTTTTAATGTATAAAAATAGTGCCTCAGAAATTGCTTCGTTTTGGCTGATTTTAAACAGTGCTTACCTGACAGATCCATCTCGGTTGTTGTATGCTCGTTAGGAAAGCAAGCAATTTTCAGTAACCAGTTCTTTTCGTGCACACTTTTTTTGTACTTACTACTATTCGTATAATAAGCAGTGGTTTTATACTGTTTACTGAATCTGAAATACTACATTATGGAGATGCAGAAATGGCAAATTTGATGAATTTTCTCAACAGTATGGTTCTTGAATCTTTCATAGTCAATACGTTCTTTTTCCTTCTGCTAATCTATTCATTAATTACCATGGTCTTATTTTTTTAGAACACTTACATGTGTAAGTTGAAAAAAAGTTAAAGCAGGAAATTTATCGAATTTAAAAAAGTTTACTGGAACTGATGGGCAAATCAGTGATATCCGACAATTGTAAACTCCTCGCAAAATTTCATAGTTCATTGGTGTAGTATATTTTTGGTGAAATTACCTATAAAATGAATAAAATTGATTTTGTTGCTTTCTGTGTATGCAAGAAAGAAGTGAGTAATTTTGTGGAGTGTTCATTGAGAACAGTTTTTGAGAATGAAAATGGTGTTTAAAAAAGTGATTTTAATGTCGAACTTCTTTTTTTCTTGGTTTTGTTTCTGTCATTTTAAATGACTTAAAATTCTCTAGCCACCTATTTGGTCGATCATTGATTTTCGCCACATATTCAAACATCAACACTGATTGCTCGGACAAAAAAAAAAAGTGACACTTTCCACTCGTCTATATCGTTGTTTTGCAAGCACCGATTGAGCTATACACACTGCTTAGCTCTATCGCCTCTTTTGTGTACGAAGAGAAAATATTCGTTACAATAA